GTTTTAGAACATAGATTTGATAAAGATGATGATGGATATGAATGAAAACCGTTATATTGACACAAAGAAATTAAATAAAATAATAAAAACGATTGCCGTTATTTTCTTGCATAATTTTAGATGTAGTCTCTAGATGAGATTTTCGGTAGTGGAATTGTGTGAGAGCAAAACTAAAGGCTTGAAACATAATTGCACTCAAAAAGTGACTATACATATCATACATGTACGATAAAAATGGTGACATATTTAAATTAAAAATTTCATTGCAAAACCTTTGGCAATTTCTATGGGCTAATATGGTTTGGTGCTTAAAGGGAGATCAAGCATCAATAGTAGGAGGAGCAATTAACTACTTAAAGGAGCTTGAGCATCATTTACAATCAATGGAGCCGTCTCCGGTAAAGACCACCGCCGGAGCCGGCGACGACCAGAGCAAGACGATAGCCACCACCACCTCATCAAGACCGTTCTCAGATTTCTTTGCATTTCCTCAGTATTCGAGCCGGCCCTCGTCGTCGGCGGCAGCGGCTGAGGGGACGGCGGAGATAGAAGTGACGATGGTGGAGAGCCATGCGAGTCTTAAGATACTTGTGAAGAAGCGACCGAGACAGCTTCTTAAACTGGTTGCATCGATACAGAGCCTAAGGCTCACTCTTCTTCATCTCAACGTCACGACTCGTGACAACTTCGTCCTCTATTCCATCAGCGTCAAGGTACATTTTCTCTCAGTTTTAAACCTTTTTTTTTAACTTGTTTCATGACTAAATTAGAATGAGTGGCATATAATAGCGTTTTTAGGGTTTATATTGGGTTGCAAATCCAAATTATTGTGGTCATTAATAATGGGATACTTTTTTTTTGTTTTAACTAAAATGTTTATTTTGTGATAATGAGCATGCTTAGTTTAGTTTAACCAAAATAATAAAAACGTTTTGTGAATTTACAATGAAAAGAAGTAGTTTGTCACTAGAAAAAAACCCTTAATTTGAGAAAGCAAACAAATGAATTAGTAGTGAGATACTAATTAATTACTATATTGATTGCCCTGTTTGTTTAGGTCAATGATTCATTGATTCTTCTCCTATCACAAATGTTTTATTCATTGAATTTGTCTCTCCTTTAGTACGTCTTGTGATTTAGTATTTGTCTGGGCCAAAAAAAGGTTTCGAAGAACAATAATAAAACTCATTCC